GAGAGAGAGAGAGAGAGTTGCCTGGAATCCTCCGCACGAAATCTCGTAAAATCTTTTATAAGCTCGTGGGCCCGGTGTAACGACTTTGGCAAAGGTGGCGAATATTCCGGCAGAGAGGACGTTTATGCGCCGATATCTACGCTGTAAATTTTAATCCGATGGGCGTCTGCGCCCCCCGTGCCCCTCGGTCTCCCCGCTTGGTTGACCGACCGGTCGGTTTTGATAAAACCGGTATCGCGGCGAGGATTTTCGAGATTAGAGGAACCCACGATAATTCGCGCGCATTGTAACGCCCAAAGACCGCGGATATTATCGATCGACAACGATAAGAAGCAACGAACCGACGAAAGTGGCGATGATAAGGTCGTGAATGTATGCACGCGATCGAGGAAATAAGAACGATCAGAAATTTTTCCACTTTCGATGAAGGGTATAGAAAGATCGCTGTCTGTGAAATACGATGGTGATAAATAAGGATTATCAAAAGGAAGTTGAAGGGATGAGGGAGACAGTATAATTCGGAAGATTTTGGAACTTTCTTTTTATTAATTATAGTTGTGCATTGGTAATGTTTTAAATTTTAATTGAGATATGTTGAAATATTTAATTGTTTTTTTTTATAATAATTATAGTTATGCAAGTGAATTGATAATCGTTGCAGATTACGTTTCAAGATCGAAATTGAAGATACTGAAAGTAAAATTTATGCAAATATGACTGATGAAGACAGTATGCAAATATGATTTGAGAATTTATTATGAATATCATTGCCAATAAAATATTTACAATAAAATATTCCTGATTGTACAAAGTCTCTTTAATAATTAATCAATTTTAATGTTCAATAACGATATAGTGAAACGATCATTAATCTTTTTTATTCTTCTCAGAAAAATGAAAAACAGTTTTTTTTTCTATCTCTATATATATGTATGCGAAAAAGAAAGGCATTAAGATATCTAAAATTTCTTATGGATTTATTTATCTTGGCAAATGGAATTTGTAAAAAGTAAAAAAGAAAAAAATCTTCTCATTAATAAAATTTATCAATTTTTTTCTACTTTTATTTATTAAATCTGTACGAATTCTACATGTTATCGCGAATATTTCAAAATATTGCATTTATAAATTTTTCATCGTAATTTCTTATTTTAATATACATAGAGAAGGAAATTCAATTCTCTTGGTAATATTTTAGCAAAAATGACCATTAATCGTGTGTTAAACTACTATACCCGATCGTACAAGTACTCTATATGCAATTTTACTATTCCGAATAATTAGAACTCGTATTTGGAAGCTAAATCAAATATCAAATTTTGATGGCAAACATCAGGAATCGAAGAAATGATTAATGAGAAGAGAATTCACTGGATATTTAGTTCAGTTTCAGAATACCTGGTTCTCAATGGTCCGAATTTCAATTATTTTCACCAATTTACTTGGATGATTAATTTCATAAAAAATTCAGAAATATTAAATATTACGCTACAATGATCATTGAAATTCGTTTTAAAACACGTAATCGCAACTGTTTTGATCAAACATCAGCTTATTAGAATATTATTACGAAAATTGAGTCAAAAGTGTTTTGTAATTTTAGATTATATTGACAATTTATGCGATCATTATTTCATTCTTTAAAGTTTAAACCACTTATATCATCGTCTCCCACGATTTATCATAACACCCTTTCAGAACTGTGACCTATTACGATATCAAACACACATTTGTCTATCAATGTAATTCTAAACATTCTTGCACGTCTCATTTTTGTCTGCTCTCGTTTGCCTTGAGTTGCTCAATAATCCTCGACACTGATAAAATACTCGTATACTCGACACGAGAACAAATCTTTCGTGTTTGACTTGAAAGCAACCTTCGATTTCTCTATCAAATCTAACACGAATCTCGGTAATCAAATAAAAGGAAAAATAATATTTTATCGTTTCATTTTTAGGCCTTGCATCACTGCGTAATATGAATTATCAACACTGAACAGGTGATTATTTTATATAAATGATTCAGAATGGTCAAAATAATTTGATAATTATCATGATAATCGAGGAAATCATTAGTAATTCTCTTAATCATATAGATATAAACATATATGTCTATATACAGATAATGATAAACAATAAATTTTATTGTATATTAAAATTGTATATTAAATTATAATAGAATGGAGAAATTATTAATACAATAAGAATAAAATTCATAATCAAGGAAAGAGTCGCTGAACTCTGATATATACATGTATTAAAATAATATAAATTTTTGCGAAATTATTATTAATACAATGACAATCAAAAGACATTGAACCCCGATATATAAAATTGTAATTTTCAGGTCATGAAATAACAATTAATACCACGAGAATGAGAATGACAATAAAAATTCAACATAAATAAAAAAATCATATTAATATTACTATTAATATAATGCGCTTGAAAGAATAATACGACTCAACTTTCTCTTCTGCTTGCCATCATTTATTAAAATCCAAAATCGATCAAAAATCTTAGTTTATCGTTGTTAACTCCATTGCTATTAACACCGACAGCACACCCGGAAAGATAATAGCAACTCCACCGCATTAAAACGAAACGGTTCCCTTCTTTTCCCGCTCGTTAAACCGTTTATCGACCTGCACAACGTCGCGACTTTCACTTTCGAACCGTAAGACAATTCACCCCTTTGACGAGTATCGATTAACAGTGCACACCGGTGTCGTCGACCCTTACAATTTCCAACATACCAGCCATTAATATACGATATCTATTTTATCATTCCTGTTCTTCGTTTGGCCGAGTTTCGCGTGGAATAATCGTCTCTGAAAAATTGATCACCGCCCGCGAATTAACTCGATTTAAACCCACGTCCTCTCTTTTACATATGTACATATGTATATGTCTCTCTCTCTCTCTCTCTCTCTCTCTTCTCTCTCTCTTTCTGTCTCACTCCCTTTTGCCCTAGCTCTTTGCAGCTTATTTTAATTCGAAGCGCGGATATGCGCGCGTGCAGGCACCGACGACGCCGGGCATAAATTAAACGGCGTTTTTCGTTTCGCTCCGCTGACAAATATCGACGCGCGCAAATAAATTCCATAATTTATTCCCGACTGACTGATGAACACGGACCGTTCCATAAATACAGAAGAGAGAGAAAACGAGAGAGAGAAAGAGAGAGAGGACTCTTGAGCGTGAACGAACGAGCACGTACAATGTCTGGAAATGGAGGATTCGGTGATTTCGAGTTTTTTGATTGCTCGATTTTCAGGATTTATTCGCGGATTGTTTTCCTCCTGTTCGATTATCCTGTGTGAATCTTATACCGTTAATGGGTTCCATTCGATTAACGAATTGGAAGGTGAAAGGTTTCGAGGGTGTATAAAATTTGGACATTCTAGTAATATTCTGTAATATGCGTTTAGTTAACATTTTAAGTTTCATTTTTCTTCATCATCACAAATAATAAATCTAATTAGTTCTTTTATCTATCGAAGGAAACAAAGATGTAACGATAAACACGTTCTATCTGTTGATAGAACGAACATGAATATAATCTCTGCGAAAATTTCGGAAACTTGATGCATCTTGATTATTCTCTGTCTTCAGCTGGTGGTACGCGTCGTTTATCGACACGTATAATTTTAATCACGTTGGTGATTCAGTCGATATCATAACCTCGTGTGTGAATCTAGACAACACGATCGAACACGTGAAAACGGCAGATGCTATTCGTCTGCGTGGGTCCATCCACGTACACGGGATTCTTATCTTAATCCATACTCTGATTACGATACATTGGTCAAAAAAATGAGCTCGAGTCTATCATGCAGTTCTATTGAAATACTGCTACTGTGTTTTGTCGAATGAATCGATAATCGATAAGGAGTCATATTATCATATATCAGTTACTTAAATATAAAATAAAAGTAACGAACACTAATTTCTCAAGAATTCTTAAGAATTCTCAAAATTTATAGTTTCAGAATAATGTTGATTAATATTTATTATAAACGCGAGAAAACTTTAATTCGATATTTATTAATTTACTCAAAATTCGTTAAAATGAAATAAATTGATTAATTTTTGTTTTAAAATATAAAATTTGTTAAAAAAAGTACAATGTGCGAAACATAATGCAGCATTGATCAATTTATTTCTTTTCGATTGCAATTTCACGAGAAATAAGATATAACATTTCTCGAGAAATTCTCGATAAAGAATTCTCGAGAAGAAATGCTAATCTTAGGATAATTATCGTATGACGTTTATCTTGGTATAGTTCTTGAATTTTTCTGCTTCGTTTTAATAGCAACGAGTTTTAATCAACTATAAGTCACTGTTATAGTATATTACTAGAACATTTTTAGTAGCACTTCACTCTTTTATGATCCTTGAATCACGACAAAAGGCTTTTTAATTCTGGTTATATATTTCTAGCTATACATGCTCGTATCCAATGTCAATGAGAATTTTTCATATAGTAATAAAAATAATTTAATTGAAACTATATCTCCATACACAATAGAAAATTATAGATACGAAAATATATAGCAAATGACTGACAATCTTAATAAAGATATGGTAAAATTAGAAAAGTGAATATGTATGGATGTTAATATAATTAATAAATGTAATCGAGTGCAGAAATTAATTATCTTCTCTTTTTATTATTGAATCGTAACATTGAACATTTAAGAATAATTTTAAACCTTGCCCACTTATTACTGAATGATTTGAGCAACGAATATTAAATTTCCACATTCTAGTGATAACATTGAACAAAGTCAAGAAACTTATCTTCATTGGAATTTTAAGGAAAGCTTGTTACAAGATTCGATTTTGTAATTTTGATAATTTAGTCTTCGTATTTTCTTATTTCATTTTCTTCTTCACACAATTTTTTTTTCACGAAATGCAATATTATACGCATATTTAATTACTAAAATTTCACATAATTATATAACATATATAAAATATAAGAGATATAAGATATTAAGATAGATAATATTTAATTAAAATATTTAACTAAAAATTAAAAGACTGATATAAAAATATAAAATTTGTAAAAATAATTACATGTAAAATATAACATGAATCTCGAGATAGAATTTAATATATATATGTATCTTCGCTGACTATGTATAGTGAAAGGCGTATGATTATTCGTCTCACAACATCCATAAGAAACATGCAACATGCAAATAAGAATTGAATATACGTTTCATCTTACGAATAAATGCATAAGGTGTAAGGTGCTAATGGGACCAAGAAACAGTTCCACAGGAACGAACAGAATGGATACAAAAGTTTATGTACGTCTGGTGGTCTGGAACGTCACACGTTCGACTAAATATTTTGAAAACATTGTAAGAAAACATACTACTTATAGAGAGTCTCTTAATCCGTGAATGAAAATAAATAGTGACTGAAAAATTCATCGCGCTCATGTATGGAACAATTTATAATTTAATCATTCAGTGACGACTTAAATACATATATTGCATCAACCCTTGTTTGGTCTACATGTAATTTATGCAAATAACAAGCTTCCAATAATAATAACATTAATATCGGTATTGATAATGAAGTAATTAATCCAGCAATAAGAAATGCAATTAGAAATGATGATGGTACAGAAGGAATATTATTGCGCCCTGTTTACAGGAAATTGTGTAATGTAGAGAATTGAAAAAATATTAGAAAGAAAGAAATTAAAAATTCTTAACTTATCTATAACTTGACAAATTTTATAAGACTATAATTCCATTCCTTTCATTGCGATTTTTTTTACAAATAGATTTATATTAATTCGAATTATTTGCAACTCGAATTTAAAGAAGCTTGATCTCTACGAATCGAAATCTAGATTTGATTGAATTTTGTCGATAAGCCATTTAAAAGAATCGAACCAATCGAAGATTCTCGGTCATCATTTCTTCACCTTTTAAACATATAAATGTGAAGAATTTGTAGCAAAAATAATCGAGTTCGTAAGCAGATTTATAAAATATCATCGAGTAAAAACGAACGATAGATATTGATAATTAATTAAAACCACTGACAGATTTCGATAGAGATTTACAAATATTCCTGATTAGAGAATGTTTCCGGGATTGTGCAAAGTTCATCGTTATCGCGATTTCGCAAACTCTGGATTTTCTAGACCTTACGATAGTTGGAAATTTATAATTCTGCTAGTAAAAAAAAAATAACAATTTTATCTCCGTGTTATTAATGATACCATATAAGACATCCAATTGTCAATTTTTCTTATACATAAGAATAGAAATATATATATATTTATATGCTATATATAGAATAAAATTGGGTTTAGATTTTGAAATTTGAGTTAAGTCAAATTTTAATTATATCTAGTGTACAGAGCAAATTTGGCTGGGCTAAGTTTGATTTGAGTTAGTACTAACCTAAGTTTAAATTGAACCTAGCGTTTTAGTGTAAACTAAACGTGGGTAAGTTGGATTTCGACTGTTTCCAGGTCTTCAGGTTTGGAAAGACAAACATATGGAACGTAGAAGACTAGATAAGCAAAAGTTATGGTGTACGAAATACATGAATGGCAAAAATTGGCTCCTCATTCTGAAATTTTGACAGTAATAATTCGAATAAAGAAAATAATATATAAACACTAATGTAATAATGTAATATTGTTATATATATTATATTATATATTTTATTACATAAATTTATAATAAAATTTGTATTATCTTTTGTATTATTATTTAAAATAAACAATTTGAAAATATTTTATTTCTGTTTTTTATTTCAAACAAAAGCTACTCATTATCCGATCCTATATTATAATTCCTTTAGGCACGTCCTTTATTCTTATCTTTATTTCCAATGACCAAATTTTATAAATTTATAATAAAATTTGTAATATCTTTTGTATTGTATTATTATTCAAAATAAACAATTTGAAAATATTTTATTTGTGTTTTTTATTTCAAAACAAAAACTACCCATTATCCTATATCACAATTCTTTTACGCATATTCTTAACTTTATTCCAATGTCTTAAACACCCACTAAAATCTATTCGATTCGTCACTGATAAATCACCAAAGTTCACATACCAATATAGAAACTGGATTGATACGTAATAAGATATTGTCACGACTCTTTTATTTTTACCTGTCTATGGTGATAGAGATCAAATATTCAGTAGGCGATTTCGAACAAGTTTCACGACTTTTTTTATCGCAGTGTAGAAAACATTTTCATCCTACGTCGTTGTGTGAGAATTCGATAAATCTCTCGTTAAAAGCAAAACAAAAAAAAAAAAAAAGAAGACGTAATTCCCGGAATTGAAATAATTATTCATGGCCCCCGCGTATCACGAATTATCGCAATGGATCGTCATCGCGTGGCATTTTACGTCACGAAATTGTATTGCGAAACGATCCTCGATCAAGGAATTACTGTTACTCTTATTTCTTAACGCTTCGACAAACTTCGAAAGGAATTTCTTTGCGATTAACGGTAGAATCGAGCGACTGAACTTTGCCGGATAATGGAATATTAATGTAAATGTAGTCTGTCTCCGAGTATAATAATATAGTCAGAATATTTTTCAAAATAATGCGAAATAATTTTTGCATTATTTATAATTGGGATTATTTTTGAATTGAAATATATTTATATGGTAAATAAAATATAAAAAAAAATTATTATTAATACTGTATTTATATTGATGCCAATATTCTTTAGAATTTAATTTCATTATAAAATATTGTTTTATCATTGTAAATTGAAATTAAGTATAGAAAACAAGATTCATCCTGTCTTCTCTTACTCAAACAAAGAGTATTTACATATTCATGTTATAAAGAGGATATGCATTTAAATATATTATATATAGATAATTAGAATTAAAGGATAATAATATTTTAAAAAATAATCAGATCTCGTCTGAATAAAAGTCGATATTGTAATAATTTTGTAAAAAATATCTGATGATACTAATCATTTCGACTATTCTATTGTTATATAAAAAATAATATCATTTTTCATAATTATAAACTATATTATAGAAATAACAAATTTTATTAACATCTCAGATCTTGTGTTAATATTATTACAAAAATTAATCAACTAAAATTTTAATCATCCTCTTAATCCTTCATATTTTCAGATATTTACTTTCTAATTCTATATTTTTCAAAAATTAAGGATTCATTTCTTTCAGAATTGTCCTATTTTTCTTATATTTCGCAATTTTATCAATTCACCATATTTCACCATTTACTTTCTATATTCTCCCACACGTCAAGAGTTTCCAGAACATCTTTCTGCGTCCTCCGAGACGTTTCAAATACACTTTCTAAAACGAGTTTTATTCCTTTCGAACCATTAACAATGTGATTTTATCCCGATATTTTTCGTTCTATTTTATCGAATCTTTCAATAATGACGTACAATATTGTTCAGTCGATTTCGAGAAATAGTATGTTAATTAATTGTGAATTAATGACTATGAACATTTACTATCTTCTTATAGGCAGAATACAAATTTAAATTATTCATCTAAAAGCTTTAAAAATTCTCATCTCTCGCTAAACGACTTTAAAATTCTTTGTATCCGTATAAAAGAACGAAATATCATGTTATATTTATACACACTTTTTCTATTTTCTTACTTTACAATTGTTCTAGCACAAATTTAAATTATAACTTAATAAATAAGCCTCAATCGATATTTCTGCACACCAACTTTTACACTTTTATTTCAGCCTCGAAGAATCTTTCAAATTGTTAACATCATATAGATGAAAATAAGAATATAGAAAAAAAAACAAAAGAAAATCTCAGTCTGAATAAAGCCTGAAATATGGACGAATGCAATTATTAGAAGAAAAAAAAAATATATAATCCCACTTTTACCAGATCTTAATAACTCGTACGCAAAATAAACGTCACATCTTTGCCCCCGCGCTCCAATTCTTCTTTGCGATCGAGCGAAATTACGATCCCAATCCCTGTCTCTCGAAACGGAAAAAGGGACCACGATCGTCGGGGACACGCGTCGATCAGATATCCCGTGTAGTATTTCACTGTCGATCGATCAGAAGCCGCCTAGACCGCCGTTTCGCAACCTATCTCTCGAACGCGTTTCGTCGGGACCGGTATTCCTGGAGGACAGGTGTCCGTCGAGATCGTGGCACGGATTACGCGGTCGACCAGGCGCGGGTGCGCGCGGAATTTCGCGGCCTGGATGCGATATCGATCGATCGAACGCGCCAAGAGGGGAGGGGTGGGTGGACGGGGGATGAATCTCGAAAAGGGCGAGCTTATCGAGGCGGCGAATGATTTTTGATCGAGGGAAGGTTTTGCGATGATTTTTTGAGATGAAAGAGGATGAAAGATTCTTGTGTTTGTGAAGTGTGGGGGATTGATGGAAGAAGCGAGGAAGTGATGAATTATATAGAAGTTATTTTATGAAATATAGGTTGAAATATAGCGGAGTTTAATATTCTGCAAAGATCTTTTTTCGGAAGGTGGAAATATCCTCGGGTTGCTCGTGTTTCTAAGCGGAAAAGTAATAAAGTGGAAGGAGTTGCGTGAATTGTAGAGGCTGTCGAGATGATTTAGGGTGTCTGAAACGAAGGTGGAATGGAAATATGCTTGATTGATAGATATTGAGGAAATTAGTTGTTAGATCAGAGCGTTTATGGTGAGATGGAAAAAGAGCATTGAATAGAAATTATCGAGATATACATATTTCTCCTATTGTATATAATTATATATATATATGATACTTTAATTACAAAAATTCAATACATTCAAAACTATATTCAATATTCAATCCAAGAATGTTGAATCAATCCAATCAGTAAATTTAAAAAAAAAAAATCCACGCGAAATCAACGTATAATCGCAATAAATGCATCATCCTGCTCTTTATCGTCATCTAAGACCATGAACCGTACAGCCACGTACAGGACACGTGTGCATAGGCGATGTGCACGTTACGCGCACATGTACGGGATCAGACGATGCTCGTGCCATTACGAAACACCTCGCATTCGATCGACACCTCGTAATTTATTAACGAGATGACCCGTCGATAGTCGAGAAAGGATTAAGCGTTCGTAGCGAACAGTAGCCGTCGGGCTTGCCAAAGTCCATTAAGCGGATCGGCGAACAGCTGGGCGGCTTCTTTGTTTCTCGGTCGGGCCAGCCTCGATAACTAGTCATCGAGTCATCGCCCGTAATAAATTCGATTTTAAATAAAAAAGAAGGAAAGGAAGAAGAAGAAGAAGAGGAGGAGGAGAGAAAAGGAACGGATAGGGATACGCGCGTTTCCATCAGAGTTTCTGCTCTCTGAAATTCTGTCCGTGTAATAACATGATCCGGACCAGCTTCTCTTTTTCTCGATTTTTTTTTTTTTTAAATAAATTTCTTCTGTATTCTTCGTTCTCGTTCGCGATATGTGCGCCACATGTGTGGTAACAATGAGAGATAAGCAATGTTCAAACTTCGTTCACGGTTTCCATTGTTTTAAGTTTTGTATTAAGAATAACGAGATGAATTATTCGTGTTACACGAAGTTTTATTGTTGAAATTGAGAGAAAAAATGATCGAAGAGATTTTTTTTTAAGTATTACGAATTCCTTCACGTGATACACGTGGTGTGTCATCGGTTAAACTGGATAAGCAGAACGTGACGTACATAGTCACTGTCAGTTTCAAATGGAGCATTCAAGCGTTGCAGTGGAAAAATCTCTGCTTGTTCTTGTTCTTTGAGAACAATTCTTTTATTCAAATTCGAATTCTATAATCTTCAATAACACAAACGTTTCGATGTTTTTCATCTCTCTTCAATTTAAAGAAAAATAAAATCAATCAATCTCTATATTTTTCTCTTCGTTCCCTAAAAAACTGAAAAGAAAAGGACATTTAGTTAGAAACTGCGAAAAATAAAATAAAATGAAATAAAATATCCATACACTCTCTCTTCCAACCACGATCGCGATTAACTTTCACGAGCCTTCGAAAGGAGAAGTACCACGCATAATAGAGGCGCAAAGAGGGAGGTTCCAGGAGTAGCGAGAGATGGTACAGAGAAGACTTTAACCGACTGCAGACTGCGGCAACTGGACAAGACTGGTCATCCTCTCTCCTCTTCTTTCCTCCTCCTCCTCCTCCTCCTCCTCCTCCTCCTCCCTCTCTTCTTAGGATGCTCCTCCAGTGCCGTTGCCACGGCTGCTGCCTCGTCTTCTTCTCCTGCCGATGCGTTCTCCAGGGTGACCGACCTCGGCGTCGCGCCAGCCAGGCTACGAGAAGCGGATCGTAGTATCTGCCGGTTTTTGCGGGGCTGGCGCGGCCATGCCAGCCGAGTCGAATTGTTGATACTCGCTCGCCGTAAGCCGGATTAAAAACCGACAGGGATTACGCCGGCGCAAATTTATTCGAAGCGCGGCCAGGAATAAATGGGAGGCATCCTTCGTCCGGGTGCACCGCGCGCGGATTTTATTCCTCCTCTCTTTTATTTCGCTTCACTTTTGATTTTCCTCCTCTCTTCCTCCTCCCCTCTTTTTTAAGTTCGGTTCGATTTGTTTTGTATTTTTCCCCATTTTTGTTTTTTTTTTTGCAGAGG